GTTGTTAAGTGAACGCTACGGCTGTTAAATTAATAACCCAGTTGTTAAGTGAATCTGGCTTTGCTTTTGTAAGAAGGCTACAAAAGTTGGTCACATGACCCTCAGATGCTGCAACCGTCATAAATAGGAACCAGTTGCCAAGCATCTGATCACATGACCGTAGCGATGCTGCAACAGTCATAAATGTGAAAATGGTCATAAGTCACTTTTTCAGTGCCACTGTAACTTTGAACAGTCACTAAACAAAGTGTTGTAAATTGAGGACTAACTGTAGGCTCTTGGCTACTGAGATAGACTGTTTATAGGCTGCCACAAAGAAGAGGGAGTCAAACTATTCTCCAAAGCACCTGAGGGTAGAACAAGAAGCAATGGGTGGAAACTAATCAAGGAGAGAAGCAACTTGGAACTAAGGAGGAATTTCCTGACAGCGAGAACAATTAATCAAAACAACTTGCCTCCAGAGGCTGTGAATGCTCCAATACTGGAAGTTTTTTAAGAAGAGATTGGACAGCCATTTGTCTGAAATGGTATAGGATTTCCTGCCCAAGCAGGGGGTTGACTAGAAGACCTTCAAGATCCCTTCCAACGCTGTTTATTCTATTCTATTCTATTCTATTCCATTCTTGTAAGGAGCCCCCAACTAGGTCTCCCCTCCTCATGCACTGGCATGAGTGCAAAAAAAGAAAGCTTCTAATTTGTTTGACTGGCTTTAACAGGGGCAAGCATAACGGAGTCCTTGGAATGGATGTGAAGACTTACCATTGGTATTTCTTCTGCTATGTTCTGAAAATTGTTTTCGCTGTCTTCCATCGTCATTTGATGTGCATCCTGGGACTGAGGAATGTGAGACATTTCGGCCTTGGTTTTGTATTCCAGCATTAATATAGTAGGGGGGAGAAGGATGCTCAGGATTACCTGTGAAATGTTAGCATCGGACAATTTAAAGGATTATTTCCATGCGAGAGTGCTTAGAAACAAAAGAAAGTAAAACAAAAAAACAAAAACACCACCCAGCACACAGATTCCTGCTTTCTCTCCCCACCCTTATTCCAGCAAAATCTGTCAGGTAGCAAGTAAAAGATGTAGAAGAATGCTTACATTGAGCAACTTACAAATATACCCAATTTCCCCAAGAGGGGAAAAAAAACTAACCCTATCTAAAATATCATCCAACTAAATAGGTTTGTACAAATTCCCATCCTTCGGCGTATCTTCCCCCTACCCCCCCCCCCATATTGTATTTTGATTTCCGCAGCCAAGTTTAACTGACTCAATCTTTGTAAAGCTTCTTTTCTTTTCCGTATCTTTGAAGAAATGAAGCATGAGGCCACTTCAAAGGGTTCTTTGCTGAAGAGCAAAGCAAGCAAGGGGCCACAAACCAAACCCAAGACAAGACTACCGTATTTTTTGGAGTAGAAGACACTCCGGAGCACCTTAAGATTTTGGAAAGGAAAATAAAGAGGGGGGGTGGAATTATGCCTCTGCCTACCAGCATCCATGGTATTCATCTGGCTAGCATCCTGTCAGTGTGTGAGAGAGTTGAGGGCTGTTTGCACCGAGGTGGCGCAGTGGGAGCCGAGGTGGCGCAGTGGTTAGGTGCAGTACAGCAGGCCACTTCAGCTGACTGTTATCTGCAGTTCAGCGGTTCTAATCTCACCGGCTCAAGGTTGACTCAGCCTTCCATTCTTCCGAGGTGGGTGAAATGAGGACCCGGATTGTGGGGGCGATATGCTGACTCTGTAAACACGCGATTTATTGAGCTTTTCGACCCCAGTAGGCCAACCATGGATAAATCCAAAAAAAAGAAAAGTTTCAGAAGAAAACAGAACCTTTAATTCAGATACATATGCTAGATTTGTGGGAAATAGTCAGGCACAGGAAGGGTTTTGTGCCTCCCGGTGTTTTCTGTGGGAAAATGGATACAAATGGTCTTTTCAGTGTTTAAGGTTGCCGACCCCTCCCTTATGGAAAGGGAGACCCCTGAGACCTATTTTACATTCCTTTTTATAGTTAACACAACAACAAAGAAATTGCAAGAGGAAAGTTGATTGGGCAGGGTAAATGTAACCTGTCCTTTGCATAGGAAATCAGTTACATGCAGTCAAACGTGTTGTATATTTGCATGCCATAATATCGCACA